TAACATGACGCAGCACAGACGCTTCATGTGTTGATGTGAACAGCTGTGTGCTGTCCGTATTAATGTCAGACAGCTTTACTAGGCGTTTTGAGGAGCATTTAAATTGCACCTAAACGCCTGCTTTTAATGCCAGTGTGAACAGGGTCTTGGCTGTGGTTCTCACTGGTGCGGAATTCACAGCATTTTTCAATTCGTTCTCTTTACATCTGGAGGAAAAGAAATGTCATCTCCAAACACGGAAAGGTTTCTTCACAGTAAGAGCTGTGAGAATGTGGAATAGACTCCCTCCAGAGTTGGTTGTGGCCAGCTCAGTGGATTGCTGTAGGAAAGTCCTGGATTCTTTCTTGGATACACAGAATATAACTGGATATAACATTTATAGGGAAAGTTGATCCAGGGAATATCCGATTGCCTCTCCGGGGATCAGGAAGGAATTTTTCCCCTGCAGGAGCAAATTGGATCGTGCTTTGCTGGGTTTTTTCCTTCCTCTGGATCAACTGTGGGTGAAGGATTATAACTTTTTCTATGGTTGAACTGGATGGACTTTTGTCTTTCAGCCAGACTAACTATGTAACCTCATCAGAAACGCACCCCATTCATGTGAACCGCTGCAGGTGTGTAAGTTAACACCCCGAAAGCGGTCCACAAAACGCGGTGCGATGTGCAGAATTGGGTCGCATAGGTGTGCAGAATTGGGTCGCATAGGTGTGCAGAATTGGGTCGCATAGGTGTGCAGAATTGGGTCGCATAGGTGTGCAGAATTGGGTCGCATAGGTGTGCAGAATTGGGTCGCATTGGGTAGGGGTGCATGCAGAATTGTGCAGAATCGGGTCGCATAGGTGTGCAGAATTGGGTCGCATAGGTGTGCAGAATTGGGTCGCATAGGTGTGCAGAATTGGGTCGCATAGGTGTGCAGAATTGGGTCGCATAGGTGTGCAGAATTGGGTCGCATAGCATAGGTGTGCAGAATTGGGTTGGGTCGCATAGGTGTGCAGGGGGTCGCATAGGTGTGCAGAATTGGGTCGCATAGGTGTGCAGAATTGGGTCGCATAGGTGTGCAGAATTGGGTCGCATAGGTGTGCATACCCGAGCATCTGATTCTAGTGCGGACCCAAAAAAAAACGGTTCTGCATATTGGTGCGAATAGCCATACAAAATGTACAGCTCCAATCACACCGCGCACAATTCACATGTGATTTGCACGGGAATGCGGGTCCTGTGCGAATCACATGCGATATACCACATATATGTGAACCCGGCTGAAAGTGCAATTAACAATTGGGCACATTTGCATTCTTTCATACTCGTTTTATTGCGGCCAATATCTAGGGGTGGACTGACCATTTGGAAACTCGGCACTGCCCGAGGGCCCGGGGTCAGTAGGGGGCCCCATGAGATGTCCCTGGTCCCTTTTTCATAGGCTTTTTTGAGTTTGGGCAAGGACACAGGGGCCCCATGATCCCCTATTGCCTGGGGGCCCCATGAGTTGTCAGTCCGCCCCTGCCACTATCATTTCATTACGGGATCCATTTCTCTTGTCTACCAAGACATCTGTTTTTGGAGTGGTTTTACTTTTGGGGTCTCTATGGAGCCCCCTTGTAGCCAACCTGGCATGCATGTCTGGGCTTCCCCATATTTACATGCAGAGGCTTGTAACCTGCCCACCTGGTTTTGAGTGACAGGTCATTCTGACATGGATTATTGTACAGGACTTCATGTGCAAAATGAGGTCATCAGAGGACAAGGGGGGCACTTTGGAGGAAAAATAAATGTAATCTCCAAACACGGAAAGGTTTCTTCACTGTAAGAGCTGTGAGAATGTGGAAATAGACTCCCTCCAGAGTTGGTTGTGTCCAGCTCAGTGGATTGCTGTAGGAAAGTCCTGGATTCTTTCTTGGATACACAGAATATAACTGGATATAACATTTATAGGGAAAGTTGATCCAGGGAATATCAGATTGCCTCTCGGGGGATCAGGAAGGAATGTTTCCCCTGCAGGAGCAAATTGTATCGTACTTTGCGTTTTTGCCTTCCTCTGGATCAGCTGTGGGTGGAGGATTATAACTATTTTTTTTTTTTTTGGTTGAACTGAATGGATTTTTGTGGGTTGTTTTTCTGTTTCTTTTTGTTTTTCTGTTTCTTTTTGTTTTTCTGTTTCTTTTTGTTTTTCTGTTTCTTTTTGTTTTTCTGTTTCTTTTTGTTTTTCTGTTTCTTGTTTTTGTTTTTGTTTCTGTTTCTTTTTGTTTTTTTCTTTTTGCTTCTTTTTTTTGCGCTTTGCTTCTTTTTGCGCTTTCTGTTTCTTTTTGCGCTTTGCTTCTTTTTGCGCTTCTGCTTTTTTTGCGCTTTGCTTCTTTTTGCGCTTCTGCTTTTTTTGCGCTTTTTCTGCGCTTCTGCTTCTTTTTGCGCTTTTGCTTCTTTTTGCGCTTTCTTTTTTTGCGCTTCTGCTTCTTTTTGCGCTTTGCTTCTTTTTGCGCTTCTGCTTCTTTTTGCGCTTCTGCTTCTTTTTGCGCTGGCTTCTGCTTCTTTTTGCGCTTCTGCTTCTTTTTCTGTTTTTGTTTTCTGGTTTCTTTTTGTTTTTCCAGACTATGTAAATGAGTAAAAAACTGTATTGATAAAAATGATAGAACTTTTTTAATTGAGGTTTCTGCTGGTCGTCCAGCAGTCGTAGGGGAGAGAAGCGGCCAACCATCTCAAACTTCAGTGTGCATTACAATAAAAATGGTCATGCAACCTGTAACTATAGGGAGAGAGGGTGTAACAAAACATGAAAGTGCAGTAGTGCCGCGCTCTCTTATTACTCTAAATGTGCTGATATCCTAAATAAATGCCAAAAAACTAAATACCGTACATATGTGCTGTGATACAATCCCACCGACCGTAAACTAAATGAATATAGTAAACCATTCACTGGCAATATTACTAGATTACCCTTTAAAGTGAAGTAGTGATGCACTCTTCCTATTCCACTAGGATTAATAGTGGATACCCAAAATTATACATCAATTAATCAAATTAAGATAGTGAAGAAAATGAAAAAATGAGAAAAATCCATATAATATTGCCAGTCAAGTTTCAAATTTTCCATAACCAGTTGCCGTCTGCAGGTAGCCGAATGACTGCTGCACTGCGGCCGGCCAGTTCTGGGAGGGGTCATATGACGTCCTCCCAGAACGTGCTCTCCTGCGCGCAACCAGCGATCTCCGTGATCGCTGTGTCCAATGACACGCTGATCACAGGGAAATGCAATTGCCGGTTCTCGGCTGCACTTTCCTCACGCTGTGAGAACGTGAGGAAAGTACTGCCGAGAAGCGGCAGTTGTCAGAGCGGGGATTAGCACCGATCATCAGGGCACCCACCTGTGCCCATCAGTGCCACCCAGCAGTTGTGCCAGTCAGTGCCGCCTATCCGTTCCACCTCATTAGTGCTGCCTATCAGTGCAGCCTCATCAACGCACATCAGTAAAGAGAAAAATTACCTGTTTGCAAAATTTTATAATAGAAACAAACTTTTTTTTTTTTTTTCTTCAAATTTTATGCTCTTTTGTTTATAGAGCAAAAAATAAAACCCCCAGCAGCAAGTAAATACCACCAAAAAGCTCTATTTGTGAGGAAAAAAAATTATAAAAAATTTCATACAGGTACAATTCTGCATGACCGCGCAATTGTCATTCAAAGTGTGATGGCGCTGAAAATTGGCCTGGACAGGAAGGGGGTATAAGTGCCCGGTAGGCAAGTGGTTGACCCCTCGCCTGCCAGGCACTTATCCCCTTATTTACCAGGCCAATTTTCAGCTTTCAGCGCTGCCGCACTTTGACAATTGCGCGGTCATGCAACATTGTACCCATATGAAATTTTGATCATTTTTTTTTCTCACAAATAGAGCTTTCTTTTGGTGGTATTTAATCGCCACTGGGCGCTTTACTTTTTGCGCTATAAATAAAAAAACTGCAAAATTTGAAAAATTTCATAATAGAAACAAAAAACTTTTTTTTTTTTTTTTTTTTTTCAAACAGGTGATTTTTCTCCTTCACTGATGTATGTTGATGAGGCGGCACTGATAGGCAGCACTAAAGGGCACTGATAGGCAGTACTAATGAGGCTGCACTGATAGGCGGCACTGATGGGCATACTAATGAGGTGGCACGGATAGGCGGCATTAATATGCAGCACTGTTAGGTGACACTGATGGGTACTGATAGACAGCGCTGGTGGGTGGCGCTGGTGGGCACAGGTGGGCGGAGCTTGCGGGTGGCACTGCTGGGCACCGATCACCAGTGCCCTGATGATCGGTGCCGATCCCCGCTCTGACAACTGCCGGTTCTCGGCAGTACTTTCCTCACGATCTGACAGCGTGAGGAAAGTGCAGCCGAGAACCGGCACTTGCATTTCCCTCTGATCAGCGTGTCATTGGACTCCGCTGATCACGTGGTAAAAAGCCGCTGTGATTGGCCTTTTACCACATCACGTGATCAGCTGTGTCCTTAGGACACAGCGATCACGGAGATCGCCGGGTGCGCGCCCCAGCGCGTTCTGGGAGGACGTCATGATGTCCACTCAGATCTGGCCGGCCGCAGTGCAGCCGTCCTTCGGCTATCTGCGGTCGGCAACTAGTTAAAGTGCTCCTCTTGAGAACAAGTGCTCTTCAAATTTTGGATTTTTATATGCGCTTACCTCAAAGGAAGCCTAACTTTTATATAGGGACAGATGGTGTGCGCTCCCTGACCAGACCACAAATTGCCGCGTCCTATAAAATACAGCATACGGTGTCGGCGCTTACATTTGTGGAGCGCATCCCATTCCCTGTAACACGTCAAGTGCGCCACAAGGGGAAAGCTACAGATGCATGTGTCTGAATTGTATGTTCCGGAGGATTCTCCAGCTTGTCTCCTTTTATTTTGTTGGGCAGGTTCAGGCGATGAAGCTTCTGCTTGCTGGGAGGTTGAATTGGTTGACATTTGGAGCGCCTGTTATAGTTACATTTCTGTCTTTTTTGTTTTGTAGAATTCAAGGAGGCTTTCTCCTTATTTGACAAAGACGGAGATGGCACCATCACCACTAAAGAACTTGGGACAGTCATGCGGTCACTGGGACAGAACCCTACTGAAGCTGAGCTGCAAGACATGATCAACGAGGTGGATGCTGACGGTGAGTTTTAGCTTGCGGCCCGGCTGAGGCTTGCGGCCCGGCTGAGGCTTGCGGCCCGGCTGAGGCTTGCGGCCCCGGCTGAGGCTTGCGGCCCCGGCTGAGGCTTGCCCCCGGCTGAGGCTTGCGGCCCGGCTGAGGCTTGCGGCCCGGCTGAGGCTTGCGGCCCGGCTGAGGCTTGCGGCCCGGCTGAGGCTTGCGGCCCGGCTGAGGCTTGCGGCCCGGCTGAGGCTTGCGCGGCCCGGCTGAGGCTTGCGGCCCGGCTGAGGCTTGCGGCCCCGGCTGAGGCTTGCGGCCCGGCTGAGGCTTGCCGTGTAACTTGTGCCGCATCATACAAGAGTCGGCTGTAGGTTTGGAGGTTGATTACCGTGCCTCCCAGCTGCACACCTTTCACTCATCAGTGGTTTGGTGGTTCTGAAGACTGGAAATCCTTTGTGGACTTGGGGCCGGTTTGCACCATAGAAACAGTCCAGATACATTTTGACATGTGCGGGTTTTTTTTTTTATGCATCTGGTTCATTTTCTCTTTTTTTGTCAATTTAAATGGGGACATAAGCGGTTTTGTTTTTACCGCGTTCCAGTACAGTTCTGTGCAGGAAAAATGCTGCCTGTTCTATTTTTTTTTTTTCTATTTCTGCAACCGGAACGCACTGGAACTGCAAGCACTGATGCAAACTGACACTGACCACCATAAAACCTACTTTCTGTGCATTTTCAGATACAGGAAAAAAACAAACATGGGTGGGGCGGGCGGCCCTTACCCGTGGGTGGGCGCGGGCCGGCCCTTACCCGGGTGGGCGCGGGCCGGCCCTTACCCGTGGTGGGCGCGGGCCGGCCCTTACCCGTGGGTGGGCGCGGGCCGGCCCTTACCCGTGGGTGGGGCGGGCCGGCCCTTACCCGTGGGTGGGCGCGGGCCGGCCCTTACCCGTGGGTGGGCGCGGGCCGGCCCTTACCCGTGGGTGGGCGCGGCCGGCCCTTACCCGTGGGTGGGCGCGGGCCGGCCCTTACCCGTGGGTGGGCGCGGGGGCCCTTACCCGTGGGTGGGCGCGGGCCGGCCCTTACCCGTGGGTGGGCGCGGGCCGGCCCTTACCCGTGGGGTGGGCGCGGGCCGGCCCTTACCCGTGGGGGGGCGGGCCGGCCCTTACCCGTGGGGGGTGGGCGGGCCGGCCCTTACCCGTGGGGGGGGGCGGGCCGGCCCTTACCCGTGGGTGGGCGCGGGCCGGCCCTTACCCGTGGGGGGGCGCGGGCCGGCCCTTACCCGTGGGGGGGGGGGCGCGGGCCGCGGGCCGGCCCTTACCCGGGGGGGCGCGGGCCGGCCCTTACCCGTGGGTGGGCGCGGGCCCGGCCCTTACCCGTGGGGGGGGGCGGGCCGGCCCTTACCCGTGGGGGGGGGGGGCGCGGGCCGGCCCTTACCCGTGGGGGGGGGGGCGCGGGCCGGCCCTTACCCGTGGGGGGGGCGGGGGCGCGAGCCGGCCCTTACCCGTGGGGGGGGGGGGCGCGGGCCGGCCCTTACCCGTGGGGGGGGGGGGGCGGCCGGCCCTTACCCGTGGGGGGGCGCGGGCCGGCCCTTACAGCAGGACTACACTGTATCTGAGCACCACAAACCATAAGTTATCTTTATTTTTAATATTCAAACTACCCCCGCTTTATTTTCCTGAGAAATCACTTGGAAACACACCCCCTAATATTCCTGACCATGGCCATTTTTAGGGCAATTTCTGAAATCCATCTGCCCTTAGTTCATACATACAGGCAGTGCTTGGCCCAGACTGCCCCTCCTCCCCTCCTGAAGACTCCTGGGATGTGCAGTATGACATCACTTGCCTAAGCATGGAAACCAGGAAGTAGCTAAAGAAATGTAAAGGGGGTAAAAACAAGCGAATATACTTTAGCATCTATTTACGAATCGCAGCAGAAGGGTTCAAAATGGTCAATGTTGATAGAGGGAAGTTGCACTTCAAGGTTATAACTTACTGTAGGCTCAGGTCTCCCCCCCCCCCCCCCCCCCCCCCCCCCCCCCCCCCCCCCCCCCCCCCCCCCCCACCCCCCCCCCCCCCCCCCCACCCCCCCCCCCCCCCCCCCCCCCACACAGTGCTGAATGGCACAGATGGATATATCTTGCACTACGGGTGTTCTGACAGGTGCCAGCTGGAAGAATGACACGGGATGCGTCTGATTGGATGCAACTGCCGTTCAGTCAAGTTATATTTTTTTTTTTTTTTTTTTTTTTTTTTTTTTTTTTTTTTTTTTTTTTTAAGAGCGAAGGATGTCTGATGGAAAGGTGCTGACAGAGCAGCCCAGGGCTTGGCTACTATCCAGTTTATCAGCAACCAGCTGAAGTCTGCTCAAGGTTTAAAGCAGAACTAAAGGCAAAACGTATTAGTGTTGGACAGAATGGAGAGAGGAGTGTTAATCCATTCGTTTATTGCAGTCGGTCTCCCTGTTGGGGAGATTCCCCCCTATTTATCCTGTTTACCATTATGGAAAGTGAGAGAATTCCAAATTTTGGGCTGGCCCCAGAAAAGTAAAGGGAAATGTTCCAGTGGGGACACTAGTTCCAGTGACCTAGGAGTCCCCAAGGGATTCTTTTTTTTTTTTAATTTTCAGGGATTTCTGCTCACTTCCTATTTTGGCTATGGGACAGGAAGTGAAGGGAAGTCTCCCCAATGGGACACAGATGGCAAAAATAAACTGACTGGGTTACCACCCTCTTTACTGTATCCAAAATGGTAAAAATTTTGCCTTTAGTTCTACTTTAAGGACTTGGGAATCCAGGGGGAAGGGGACAACAGCCATGCCTTGAAGATGGGCATCCAGGGGGAAGGGGTGGGCACAACAGCCATGCCTTGAGGAAGGTGGGCATCCAGGGGGGGGACAAGGGGAAGACAACAGCCATGCCTTGAGGAAGGTGGGCATCCAGGGGATGGGCAAGGGGGGGACAACGGCCATGCCTTGAGGATGGGCATCCAGGGGGAAGGGGAGGTGGGCATCCTTGAGGGGGAAGGGGGAAGGGGACAACGGCCATGCCTTGAGGAAGGTGGGCATCCAGGGGGGGCAAGGGGGGGACAACGGCCATGCCTTGAGGAAGGTGGGCATCCAGGGGGAAGGGGACAACGGCCATGCCTTGAGGAAGGTGGGCAAGATCCAGGGGGAAGGGGACAACGGCCATGCCTAGAGGAAGATGGGCATCCAGGGGGAAGGGGACAACGGCCATGCCTAGAGGAAGATGGGCATCCAGGGGGAAGGGGACAACGGCCATGCCTTGAGAGAAGATGGGCATCCAGGGGGAAGGGGACAACGGCCATGCCTAGAGGAAGATGGGCATCCAGGGGGAAGGGGACAACGGCCATGCCTTGAGGAAGATGGGCATCCTGGGGGAAGGGGACAACGGCCATGCCTTGAGGAAGATGGGCATCCTGGGGGAAGGGGACAACGGCCATGCCTTGAGGAAGATGGGCATCCAGGGGGAAGGGGACAACGGCCATGCCTAGAGGAAGATGGGCATCCAGGGGGAAGGGGACAACGGCCAGTTGCATGTTGGGCAAGTTGCCTTTACGGGGTATTTCTCTTCTCTCCTTGCAAGGGAGCAAATTGAAGACCTGAACTGGGGAGGAAAGGTTAGCACAGATAGGGCAAAGCAACATGTTCTCCTGATAAGCACAGGTTCACTGCAAGACAGATGATTGGTTGGTTTGTTCTTGCTCTTGGCAGTGTGGGCTGTAGGGGATCCTGGTTGCACACGGCTTGTGGGTCTAGTGCTTGGTGGTCGAGGGTGGTGGTGCAAATGCAGATCATTGGCAGGTTTGGCTGCATGGAGGCCCTATTGGTGAGTGGCAGGTGACAGTTGGGCTGCACCCAACCCCCAGGCATTGGAGGGAGGAGGGGGGTAGTTTTCTGCAAGGCCAGCCCCTGGGCTGCAAAAGGAATCTGGGATAACCTGATTGACAGAGCTACCTCTAGAAAATTAGATCTACCTCATCTACCATCTGTTCAGCACTTCACTGTCAGGGAAGTTGAATGGTTAGGATAGCGGTGGGGGCGTAGATAAGAGGGTACTACAGTTGTCCACACTGCAGCAGGCACCGGTTTAAAGTGATGACTAGGAAGGCCAATTTTTCCAGAGCCCCTTTGTTTTGGTTGCTGACCAGCTTTAGTCTCCAGTGGAGAGGTGCCCATCCAGATGAGCAGATTCTGTGCGACAAATGTAACTTGTCACACTTGTGATGGATCATCATGTGGAATAAACAGATCCTAGAATGAAAATCGGCGCGGAGGTGGTATCGCCATGGCGCTTGACCCAGCAGTACTAGCTTAACTTTGAAATGTTACTAGTTTTGAAATGGGGCAATTTCGATACAGGCGTCCAGTTCAAGTTGTCTGCCTCAATGGGGGGGGGGGGGGGAAGCATCGAGGGGCTCTGGGACTTTGATGTGGGTTCATAAAAAACTAATGAGGACAAATTTAAAGAGCTTGCTGGCTTTGGTTAGGCTTTCCACTACAGACGAGGGTCCCCTCCATTGTGTACCCCGGTAGGTTACCAGATAAAAACACGCACCAATGGAAGGAGCTCTAGACCAAAGGAGTCCAGATTAATTTTAGCGTGTACTAAACAAACACGTTTCAGGCGTTAACAAGCTCATGCAGACTCCACCTCCGCAACATCGCCAAAATCCGCACGTTCCTAACCCCAGAAACCACTAAACAGCTCATCCACTCCCTCATCATATCACGACTCGACTACTGCAACTCCCTCCTCACTGGCCTGCCTCGCCGCTGGCTATCCCCGCTTCAGTCCATCCTGAATACGGCTGCCAGACTCATTCACCTTTCCAACCGCTCCATCTCCGCCACCCCCCTCTGCCAATCCCTCCACTGGCTTCCGATTGTGCAACGGATCAAATTCAAAATCCTAACACTGACGTCAAAGCCGTCCACCATACTGCCCCGAACTACATCACTGACCTAATATCCAAGTACCACCCAACACGCACACTCCGCTCCTCACAAGACCTCCTTCTCTCTAGTTCCTTGGTCTCCTCCTCCCATGCCTGCCTCCAGGACTTTTCCAGGGTGTCACCCATCCTCTGGAACTCCCTACCCCAACCCATCAGATTATCACCTACTCTCCTCTCGGCGCACCCTGAAAACCCATCTCTTCAGGGAAGCCTACCCCACCCCCTGCTAACTTGCCGACCTCCTCCACTCTTCCTACCACTCCATCCCCCACAGCTATCTCCTCCTGTGCCACCACCCCCTCCCTCCTAGATTGTAAGCTCCAAGGAGCAGGGCCCTCGATCCCCTCGTGTTTTGCATTGTATTGGTATTGTTCTGTCACATGTTCTGTCCCCCTTTGTAATGTACAGCGCTGAGCCAACTATTGGCGCTTTATAAATACTGTATAATAATAATAAAACTCCCCCCTTCATCATGGCTGCAAAATGATATGATGTAATGACTGATAATACAATCAGTTACATTATATTGTGTTGTAGCCGTGATGAAGGGGGAGTTTCTGATCCCAAAAATGTTTATCTTGTACCAACTTGTTTCAGGGATCAGAAACTCCCCCTTCATCACGGCTACAACACAATATAATGTAACCGATTGTATTATCAGTCATTACATCATATTCTGCAGCCCTGATGAAGGGGGAGTTTCTGATCCCTTAAAATCCCGGTTAATTATCTTGTACCAACATGTTTCAGGGGTCAAACTCCTTTATCACGGCTACAACACAATAAAATGTAACAGATTGTTTTCAGTCATTACCTCATCATGTTGCAGCCGTGAAATTCTTTCCTTTTCAATCTGCAGTGCTGTACATTTTCTGTAGAATGTAATATGGCAACCTGGAGGTGTACAGGACAGGCACCAGCCACATCAGTTCCTCGTGTGATTGGCTCCCTGTTTTTACCAAATGTTTGCACTAAGATAAGTCAAGATTTTAGGCCTCCCCTGCAACAATCATTTTTGGTGAGATACTCCCAATAGAAAATCACATTTAAGTGCCTGGTTATACCAGTGTGATTTCAGGTGCGAATTGATATCGCATGTAATGAACGTGAAGGTCAGGGTCTTAAAATGTGCAATTTCTGAAGTAGTTCTTGCATTGCTTTTTCGGCAGTTTTGTTGCGATTTCACATACATAGACTATAATGGAAATCGCACAGCAAATTGCAAGAAATCATAAATCTTCAAGTAGCCTTTATAAATCGTGCTGAAACTGCATACAAATCATGTGATTTTAAAATGCAGTAGTGACTGACGCCCCGGTCATATCAAACCCGACTTTGAAATCGAACGACTTCACTGTAAGTTGCATGATTTCAGAGTTTGGTGACTTGCTGACTTCAGGTGCGATTTTCCAAGAGACTGGACACATGTCTGGAGATCACGCAAACAGTAGTGCATGTATTACTTTAGAAATCAGTGCAGCTCCAACCAAGTCGAAACCGCACCATTATGACCTCCCTAATTGCAGGCAATAGGGTGCGACTTTGCTTGCAGATTGCATGCCAATTCGCATCCAGTGACTGGGGACTTGAGGGATGCAAACCCTGCTACTTTCCTCAGAGCCCTGCAGGTGCAGCAACTGGATAATTCTGAAACCACTCCCATTAGATTAACTTTTCACATGAACACAAACTGCTTTCTTCAGAATAGCAAAAGGTAGGAATCTGCAACAGTTAAGTCCCTGCGATGTACATCCATCACCCAGAGGGTAGGTTTTCTCGGCAAAAGTGGAGTTGCTCTTTAACCTCTTGGCGCCGTCCGCACGCAAATGTGGCCTCCCGGTATCTGGGCCTTGACGCCGAGCAGTCGCACATTTGCGTGCAATTAAGAAAAAAACCGTGCTGAGTGCGCGCTCCCAGCACGCCCGGTACTCACAGAAAGGTCCCGATCTCCTCTTTCGATCGGGACCTTTCCCGATCATGTGACCATGAATCACATGACCCTAAAACCCTGCCCGGCCTTCCGGCTTATGAAACCCTTAAAGGGCTGGCAGGCGCCTAGGGGTTAAAGTTTGAGGCAGAAACCGTTTTTTCCATGAACTTCTTACACAATATTTTATCCTTCCTTGAAGTAATCCAAACCCTGTAATGAATCCTAACTAGGAGTCCATTCACGAGACCAGAGGCCTCTATCCCTACTTTTTCCGCAGCAAACAGTCTTGTAATTTCACTGCCCACTTCTTGCAGAACAATGGGGATGCCTCTTTGCGGCCATCTGACTCCGGGACTGAAATGCCCACTAAACCAGCCTTGAGGGACAGGCCAGGAGGTTGCTGGTCAGGTGTATCCCAAAGGCTATGATGGCAGGCTGCTATTCTGCAACCTGGCTGCGGCGTTGTCAGTGTAGAATGGCCGTCTATGGGAGGTGATGCACCTCTTTGACTTGGGCGAGGGCTTCACGGAGTGGGTCCAGGTGCTTTATTCTGCCCTTAGAGCCTGTAAACAAATCCACATCACGCCCGCAGTACTGCCCATTTCCTCATTTAGGCCTTTTGTGCTGCCTGCCCACATTTAGTCCCAGTTCACACTAAATGCGACTTTGAAATCGCGCTATTTTATTTAAAGTGACGTTTCTGGTGCAACTTTCCTGATATCGGTGAGAATTCATGAATAGATGTCTGTGGGTCGAACCTGAAATCACTGAAATTGGTGCAGGAACTATTTTCAAAATCGGTGCGACTCCCGACAGTCTGAGTTGCACAGATTTTGATCAGTTTGTCAACCATAGGGTGCAACTTGTCATGCGATTTGGAGTTTTCAGTTTGCATGACAAGTCCATCCAGGGCTTACCGCCCTCGTTGCTGCATTTCCTATGGGAAGATGGGAGTTGTAGTTGCTAAAGCAGTTGTGCATACTCACAGGAAATGTCGCCATTTTTCCAGCTGCCGCCACGGCATAGCTGCAATTACTGAATGAAAGTTTGACATTAGTGACACTAACCCCCAGTTCACATCTATGTGGTTTGCATGGGCACGAGAGCCTATTCATTTGAATGGGCTCCCGTGACACGCAGGGAAGAAGTTCCTGCACTTTGGAAAACGCAGCCCGCACGGGATCCTCGGTTCCCAGTATGGTTGCATTTTCCAGTGCGGGCAGCATGCCGTTAGAACTAATGGCACCCGCCCATGGGTCCACAATTCATGCGGGTGGTGCGGCCGCACAGATTTTTGTGCGGATCCGTAGCTGCACCACCCGCACAGATGTGAACCAGGGGTCACAAGGTAATTTTTCAGAAGTTTTTGGTAAAGAATCTAGAGCCAAGTATGGCTGACTATTGGGAACTAGCTTGGAGTTGAGGTTTAGGCCCCTTTCACATGAAGGGTCTTGGGTCTGCCTGTCAGTTTTTCAGGCAGATGTGATCGGGCCCTCTATTCACCTCTATGGACTGGTGATCGGGCCCTCTATTCACCTCTCTGGACTGGTGATCGGGCCCTCTATTCACCTCTCTGGACTGGTGATCGGGCCCTCTATTCACCTCTCTGGACTGGTGATCGGGCCCTCTATTCACCTCTCTGGACTGGTGATCGGGCCCTCTATTCATTCACCTCTCTGGACTGGTGATCGGGCCCTCTATTCACCTCTCTGGACTGGTGATCGGGCCCTCTATTCACCTCTCTGGACTGGTGGATGTAAACAGACTTGTGTCCATTTTAAACCCACCTGCTTCCAATCAAGTCCCCAATGTCCTTGTATCATGAAGATGTGTATCACACAGGGCTCCCCTTACAGCGGGGTACCATCTCACCCCCATGTTGTTGAACCGCGTTAGTTTGGTATGGGGCATCTCAGCCATGGAAATCTCCAGGGCCCGGTTCCGCAGTTCTCGCCGGATGTGTTGCAGTTCTCCAAGAAGTGGCTTTGTGCCATGCTGGGCCAGTCTGACAAATGCTACCTGATTCCAGCCATACCTGCCTGTAGAATGACCCAATCGTACATCACTTTCCCATTCACCCGAAGGCGTGTCCAATAAGAGGGGGAATTATGCAGCTCCAGATCTACCGCCTGTCGCATCCTATTGGCTATGGCCTGACCATCCACAAAGGTTTGCTACACTGGTGTCCACTCTGTTGAGGGGCAAAAATGAACCTCTGATTGCCAGCAGTGGGGCCAAATATAAAAAAAAAATCCACGTTGCCTGCAACTGAATGTCACGGGTGTCGGTGCTTTGACTTGGCATCCCTGCAATGGCGAACGGGCTGGCAAAAGCACAGGCGCCAGGATGCAATTTCTAGTTGCCATGTCAAACTGGCACCTGGGATTTTGTCAATCCCTGGGCTACAATGCGACCAATATTGGTAGGTAAACTTTGCTTAACCCCTTGGCGCCTCCTGGCCCTTTTAAGGGTTCCAGAAGCCGGTGGGTGGGGTTTTAGGGTCATGTGACCGCTGTGATGCGCTGTCACGGCGGGCATATAATTGGGAAAGGTACCGAACATGTGCTGGGAGTGCGCTCTCAGCACATGTTGTTGTTTTTTTTTTTTTTTTTATTGATGCAGATGTGCGACAGCTCGGCGTCTAGGCGCAGAAGCCTGGAAGCCGCACATTTGCGTTTGGCCGGCGCCAAGAGGTTAAATTGCGACCATAACAGACAGCCAAGTAATTCACATACCTGAAGGAGCCTACTTTTTATATGTCTTGTGGAGATCTGTGGTCAGAATCCACCACAAACCTCCATTTCTCCTCCTGAACTGATGAAGACCTCCTGCAATGGGCTGTTTTTTGTTCTTATGCAGGCAATGGCACAATCGATTTCCCTGAATTCCTGACCATGATGGCAAGAAAAATGAAGGACACAGACAGCGAGGAGGAGATCCGTGAAGCCTTCAGAGTTTTTGACAAGGTAATGGGGCAGTCTGTGGTATTGTCACATCTGATTGGAGGGTTAATGATGCGCAGTGCTGACGCAGGACTTTGCTTTACTTCCAGGACGGTAATGGCTACATCAGTGCTGCTGAGCTCCGCCATGTAATGACTAATCTAGGAGAAAAACTAACAGATGAAGAGGTAGATGAAATGATCAGAGAAGCAGACATAGATGGGGATGGACAGGTCAATTATGAAGGTAAGGACGTGCTGGTGGCCAGGGGTTCCTTTTGTCTCTCTGTATTGTAGGCTTTCAGGGAAGGTTCAGGCAACCTGGATGTCTTTTCTAATGTTGTGGCCCACATGAGGTCAACCATTCTAATGTTGTGGCCCACATGAGGTCAACCATTCTAATGTTGTGGCCCACATGAGGTCAACCATTCTAATGTTGTGGCCCACATGAGGTCAACCATTTTATCCTCAAGACCCCTTTTGTTTGTGCACCAATACTTCTATGGAATCTGAACAATTTCACTGATCAGATTGCTATCAGTCCTGGAAGTGTAAACCAAGCCATAGATTATACAATTCTTTCCTTTAACGGGTGAAAGGATAAGGTTCCCCCATCAACAGTCAGTGTTTGGAGGAATCCCTCTTGTAGTGTGTAACGGAACCGACCACAGGCTGCGCTTTGCTACTTCCGTTGACTACCGCTTTTCCGTCCGACCACAGACACAGCTGACCATAAGACTAGATGACACCAATCTTGAAGTAATCCAGAAGGTAGACTATTTTATTTCAACACAGATACAAGATATATACACTCAGGGGACTGTCCCCCCTCTCTGCATAATGACAGGACGGGGCAATCTACATTTAGTAAGGACACACAGTCCCATCAGGAGGGAGGGCTGCTGGAGACACCCCTACACTAAGCTAATACACAAACATATACATCCCATAATAGTTTGCTCCCAAGCAAGACAATAGAACAATGGGATGCAGCCACATAACACCACACAATCCACACCCCCCACCCCACCTATCTCCTAGACATGTCTACACAATATTAGGACAGATCACCCTGTACCCCTAACAGGCACAGGGTGACATACACCTTAGAGGGATATGGGGAGCTGCGACAGGTGTCTCCCCACCTCTCCAAAGTGAGCTGGGTTCCATGGGCCCCCCCACCCAAAGTGACTCCCGTCACATAGTGCTATTATGTTCTGCAGGTGGGGAGTCTTCCCAGAACACAATGATCACTGCTAACGGCTATAGCCACTGGCAGTGATCGCTTGCAAAAAAAAACACAAGTTGGTTGTGCTGAGATTTCTTGCTTGAATATCGGCTGGTTCCTGCTGAACTGGCTGAGAGTTTGGTCCATCTATGGCCAACTTGACCTACGGAGAGCGATGTATAGATATTTTATTTTTTGCCCCCCGTTTTGCTATGCAGCTCTGTTTAGCTGCTGGGAGTCGGTGTTTAACCTCTTGGCGCCGGCCACATGCAAATGTGCGCCCTCCCGGGGTCTGGGCCTTGACGCCGAGCTGCCGCACATTTGCGTGCAATTAAGAAACGTGCTGAGAGCGCGTGCCCTGCACACATGTCCGGTACTCACAGAAAGGTCACGATCTCCTCTTGCGATTGGGACCTTTCTGGGTCATGTGACCCTAAACCCCCGCCCCGCCTCCCAGCTTCTGAAACCCTTAAAGGGCCGGGAGGCGCCAAGGGGTTAAGCCAAGTCCACTGCCGCTTTCAGGGCCAACAAACGTTTGGAATTTTGGGGCATCTTCTCTCGGGCAAGACGTTTTTACATTGTAAAGTAGCCGACCAGCTCTGTTAGTCTGCAAGTAATTACAAGAAGTAGAAAATGATCTCCATACAGAATGGGGAAATGACACTGACGCCTGTAGTGCGGGTATAATGTGCGGACGGGATGGTGACAGGCAAGGTGTATCTGTACTTTTTTATTTTTAAAGGCAATTTACTTTACAGTGCATTGCTTGGCATGTCCGATGGTAACGTAAGGTAGCAAATTATTATACAGGATTTATATGGCGCCAACAGTTTGCTCAGATTTACAATATAACGGGAGACAATACAGCAACAATACAGTTCAATACAAGAGGGATAGGAGGGCCCTGATCCTGGGAGCTTACAATCTAGGAGATGACATGAATGTGCTGCCAATGTACCTTAATGGTGCGACCGTCAGATGTGGCCTTTTTATTTATTTATTTTTTTGGAACACTATGCACTACAAGAGGTATTTCCGTACTGTGGGGGATGGTCATGAGTTTTGGGCACAGAAGTCTGAATGGGGTATCAAAGTGGATCCTTGGTCAGAAAATTTAGGTCCTGATCACCTTAGACTGGTCCCCTTTTTTTTTTTTTTTTTTTTTTTTTTTTTTTTTTTTGCACAAGTATAGCGATGTAAAGAAAAAATACACACTGTTTAAAATCCAATAATACGGTCTTGCCCTTCTCTGCACGTGCATTTACTTCCTATCCCTGGCACTGTAGAGTCCGATCTGCTGACAGCCTAAAGATTTACTGCTGCTCAGGACTAGGCTTCATTGAAGTGGCCGCCTCTGGCAAAAACAAAAGCAATGCTGGAGGCAATTTACAGCACATACTGATTCTGGTGGTATAACATGAAATGCATGCTCCTTGCTAAAGAACAGTTTAGTAGGGTAAAGGTCCACTTGAAGGTCTTTGGAATTTGGTAGGTTGGTGTGCTGTAGGACTTTGAAGGTAATCAGGTCTAGAGTTGGGCTTACAAAGGACTATTGTAACCAATTATTTCTTAGAAGCCCATTGCTGTTATGCAGGCATACCTGTGTGTTCTGTCCTGCAATCGGTTCAAATGATGGAGAGTTTTCGTACAGCTCCCCCCCGTATTGTCCACCACTCTGGACGGAAGCTGTGTAGGTCTTGCGCCTCAGTCCTGTGGTCGTGTCTTTACCCCCCTTCCCTTTACCTATTTACGGAATGCACACTTACTCGATTTCATGAATGCCTTGGAGGAGAGGGGTTCTTGACATAACTGTAGCACTTGGGGGTCTTAGACCCCAGGATCACCCATATCTGGAGCAGCAAGGGAGTTGTACTCTGGTACAACCTTACGGGATTCTGCTGTCGTGTCGGCGCGTGCTCTTTGCGGGGTTCTGCTGTCTTGTCGGCGTGTGCTCTTTGCGGGATTCTGCTGTCGTGTCGGCGCGTGCTCTTTGCGGGATTCTGCCGTCGTGTTGGCGCGTGCTCTTTGCGGGGTTCTGCTGTCGTGTTGGCGCGTGCTCTTTGCGGGATTCTGCTGTCGTGTTGGCGCGTGCTCTTTGCGGGGTTCTGCTGTCGTGTTGGCGCGTGCTCTTTGCGGGATTCTGCTGTCGTGTTGGCGCGTGCTCTTTGCGGGGGTTCTGCTGTCGTGTTGGCGCGTGCTCTTTGCGGGGTTCTGCCGTCGTGTTGGCGCGTGCTCTTTGCGGGGTTCTGCCGTCGTGTTGGCGCGTGCTCTTTGCGGGGTTCTGCCGTCGTGTCGGCGCGTGCTCTTTGCGGGGTTCTGCCGTCGTGTCGGCGCGTGCTCTTTGCGGGGTTCTGCCGTCGTGTCGGCGCGTGCTCTTTGCGGGGTTCTGCCGTCGTGTCGGCGCGTGCTCTTTGCGGGGTGCCACATTTTTTACATGCATTCCATGCATTAAGGTGGAACACCACCTGCACGCAGCTGTCAGCCAGTGAGGGAGCAGGAGGTGCAGCTGAGCTCCATATCCTATGGACACAGAGTCTGCTTGGGAGCAAGCACACATGTCCCTATAGAAAGTGGCTTGCTAAGGGGGAGGAGCCAGGAGTGCCATCAGGGGACCTGAGAAGAGGATTGGGGCTGCTCTGTGTAAAACAATTACACAGAGCAGGTAAGTATAACTGATTGTAAAAAGGCAGTTTTTTTTTAACAAGTTGAAGGAATAATAGAATGTTAATGACGTCTTTCGAGCTCAATCTAGGAGGGGGGGGTGGTGGCACAGGAGGAGATAGGGGGGGGGAAGGTGGAGGAGGGAGGCAAGTTAGCAGGGGGTGATCCCTGGAGGTTTTGTATGCAGTATGTTAGGTGGCTTGTTGTCTCGTATGGGGGGGGGGGGGGGGGGGGGGGGGGGGGGGGGGGGGGGGGGGGTGATTTTGTATGCTAATGTTAGGTGGCCCGTATTGGTCTCCTTTATTTTCTCTGCAGAATTCGTACAGATGATGACTGCAAAATGAAGACTTGCCCCCCATCTCCCTTCCCTTCTAGAATCAAACTGAATCCTTTACTTACCTCTTGCAAAAATGTTCATTTACTCATTCTGTTTCTGTATAGCAAAACTGAATGTCAAGAAATTACCTTCTGTCCACAAAAAAAAAAAAAATTCTGCATGTAATGGTTGGTGGTCCTGTCCCCAAAAAAAAAGATGAGTTTAAACATCAAGTTTCACGGTATATAAATACTTGTACTTACCTTATACCAACAAAGGAAACACTTAAAGGACTCCTTAAGTTCCATTTGCTAAACGATTACTACACTGTTTGGGCTGGCCAGTTTTAACATGCATGCAGCTTGACAATTGAGCACAGATTTGTATTTAAAACAAAAAAAAATAATCAAAAACAAAAAAAAAACCCGAATCGGCCGTCTTTGGCAGATCGCGTTATGAAATTTGTAGTATAAAAATTGTCATAGCTGGCTTACTTTAAAATTGGTTTATACCTCAGGATGGTATGCAGCAAAATGGTTGAAGGGTGCAAGTGTTGAGGAATCTAATCCCTCCCTCCCCCTCTCCTTCCCTCCTCCCCCCCCCTTTACTGGTTGAATGGTTCTTTTGTACCTGGTGTGCTTCAAGATCCAACCCTATTGGAAGATGACATGTCTGTTTTTCCGGGTTTTAAACGTTGTCTGTGCTGCGCTAGAGTTGAGACGGGAGTTGGGGCTGTTGTACCATTCATGTTTTTTTTAAAAAAAAAAAAGAATTGTTCACCGCCGGGGAGCATCTTTGGACTCTCTAACTTAAGACGTCTGTACCAGACTTGGAGCCGACAAGATTCCTATGTCAATATAGGACTACAGCACAAAAACCATCAACAGGCTGTTCAAGAAATAAAAAAAACTTCAATATGTCCATTCCAAGTTGTAAATGCTAGTTTTTATTTTTGTTTTTTTTCCAATAAAAGACCATTAACATAACTTTTTGTTGACACACTTTTAATTTTATTCATCCATCCATGTACAGACTGCGCGCTTTTTTTTTTTTTCATTGTTTAGCTAGTTTTTGGAATCCTAGATGCAACCTTGATCTTTATTTTCCCTTTTTAGAGAATCCTATCCACGTATCTTAGTAGTGATCCCATTGGGTTTGTGAGCTTTGTACAGGCTGTTGCAATTGGTTTAAAATTTTTTTTTTTTTTTTTTTGCTGTTGGGCGAGTGGTCTTGCCATGCACAGATTGCCGTTCTGCGGTAGAGGTTTCGCTGCCCATGAGATTTTTTTTTCTTTAATTTTTTTTACTTAATTGCATCAACTTAGGGTTTTGCTAAGTCTTAATGTGTGACTTCTCCCCTCCCCCTTCCAAGCCCCCCATGGAGAGCATTGTTTGTTTTTTTTTCTTTTGCATGCACAGTGTACAGACCTATAAAGGCACATTTTAGCTGTAATCTGAAATTTTGATAAATCAAGGAATTTCGAGATGAATCCTAGGTATTAACTGCTGTTGACACCTAGTTGGTTTTTTTTTTTTACTTTTTTTTTTTTCTTCACATTTCACATGCAAAAAAGCTATATCGCTTCTTGAAGATTGACTGACAGTTGGGTCTCAATCTTCAGCTCATGCTTTGTGGCAGGGCAGACAGGGTGACCTAATTGACTTTGGTTGGCAATCTGGTTTTGTGAAAAGCTTAATCGGTGAGTGGATTCCTTCTTTGGCTGGTTTGAGGGTTTGGTTGGCGATCGGGTTGCCGTTGGAGGGTTTGGTTGGCGATCGGGTTGCCGTTGGAGGGTTTGGTTGGCGATCGGGTTGCCGTTGGAGGGTTTGGTTGGCGATCGGGTTGCCGTTGGAGGGTTTGGTTGGCGATCGGGTTGCCGTTGGAGGGTTTGGTTGGCGATCGGGTTGCCGTTGGAGGGTTTGGTTGGCGATCGGGTTGCCGTTGGAGGGTTTGGTTGGCGATCGGGTTGCCGTTGGAGGGTTTGGTTGGCGATCGGGTTGCCGTTGGAGGGTTTGGTTGGCGATCGGGTTGCCGTTGGAGGGCTTGGTTGGCGATCGGGTTGCTTTTGTGGTGGACTGATTGCATTTGGCTGCTTTTGGAAGGGTTCAGGGATATTTGATTTGTTGGCCCATTTCGTAACGTTGCAGATTTGGAAGCTGCAGCTTGTAGCTGTTGACCGTCTGCAGCTCTTTGGTACCTGTTCTCATGATCGAGGCTGTATTCTGATTGAACCCACTAGACTAGGTGAAATATATATACTCATGAAACTGTTGGTTGCGTGACTACTGGTTTCGCAGATATTTTTATATGGATCTAATGTGTATGCTTATATCCCATGTTTCAGGCTGTGTACAGCGGTTGGGAGATATTGAAGGCTCGTGGGGATGAGTTTTTACCATTTGGTGTGATTTTTGGTGTTTTTGACATACCTGACTACAAGCATGTGCTCTACAAACGAGGACGTTTAAGCGCCACCCTGAGATTGACAGTTGCCCTGACTGGCAGTTTAACCACAATGGCTGGTCAGGAGGTCGTTTAAATTGTTTAGCAGCTTGGTGGCTTCTTGAGACTGAGCATTGGGAGTTCTGTACATGCCCCCTTCTGTAGATCAAGTCAAGGAGACTTGTATTGGTTAAAAGCCACCTAGATCTTTCTGTGAACTGAAGCTTGCAACCTAGGGATGGCTTTTTTTTTTTTTTTTAACCTGTGGGGGGTATTAAAACCCTCTTTCCAGATGCATACCCTCATTGAAACTATGATGGCTTTAAAATATCTCTGCTATTATAGGTGTTTGCGGTCAGGTCTTCCTTTTCATGACAAAGGATGGGTTAGTATGGCTTTGGAACTAACGTTTTTGTTTTTAAAAAAAAAAATGTTGAATCTCCACCACCTAATGGTAACTCAATCTACACAGAATGCCAAAGACATGAAATTGCAGTAAAGGTTTTGCGGTGGTGGTGGTGGCGGCGGGTTTATCACCTGCTTTAATTTTTGGTTGCCATCGGCTTGTTCCTGGCTGCCGCGTGTGGTAAATTTTTGGGAGGGATATTGTGGACTACTGCACTCATTCTACCCATGCCATGACTGGAAGCTTGTGCTAATTCTGAATCCATGCTTGCACTTTAGGGAAATAATAAGCCTTGAAACAAAAGACCTGGGATAGAGTAAATGGCTGTCATGTATTGCAATTGAAACTAATAAAGCCAAATAAAAAAACAAAACTAGCATGTCTGTCTGTTATTGGTGGGGATGGGTGTACTGGTGGGGTTGGGGATGGGTGTTACTGGTGGGGTTGGGGATGGGTGTTACTGGTGGGGTTGGGGATGGGTGTTACTGGTGGGGTTGGGGATTGGGGGGTTGGGGATGGGTGTTACTGGGGTGGGGGGTTGGGGGGTTGGGGATGGGTGTTACTGGTGGGGTTGGGGAGGGTGTTACTGGTGGGGTTGGGGACTGGTGGGGTTGGGGAGGGGTGTTACTGGTGGGGTTGGGGAGGGGTGTTACTGGTGGGGTTGGGGAGGGGTGTTACTGGTGGGGTTGGATTATTATTTATTATACAGTATTTATAAAGCGCCAATAGTTCGCTCAGCGCTGTACATTACAAAGGGGGACAGAACAATACCAATACAATGCAAAACACGAGGGGATCGAGGGCCCTGCTCTTTGGAGCTTACAATCTAGGAGGGAGGGGATGGTGGCACAGGAGGAGATAGCTGTGGGGGATGGGGTGGTAGGAAGAGTGGAGGAGGTCGGTCAAGTTAGCAGGGGGTGGGGCAGGCTTCCCTGAAGAGATGGGTTTTCAGGGAGCACCTAAAGGAGAGGAGAGTAGGTGATAATCTGATGGGTTGGGGCAGGGAGTTCCAGAGGATGGGTGACACCCTGGAGAAGTCCTGGAGGCGGGCATGGGAGGAGGAGACCAGGGAACTAGAGAGGAGGTCTTGTGAGGAGCGGAGTGTGCGTGTTGGGTGGTACTTGGATATTAGGTCGGTGATGTAGTTCGGGGCAGTATGGTGGACGGCTTTGTACGTCAGTGTTAGGATTTTGAATTTGATTTGTTGCGCAATCGGAAGCCAGTGGAGGGATTGGCAGAGGGGGGATGATGGGTGTACTAGTGGGGTTGGATGATGGGTCTACCGGGGTGGGGTTGGGGGATGGGTCTACCGGGGTGGGGTTGGGGGATGCGTCTATTGGTGAACATTCTCAGTCAATGTCCCTACCTTACATGGTTGGCATAATCTCCTTACTGCAAGATGTTCTGATGTGTCTGGGAGTGATCCTTACAAATTAAACTGTTGCCTGTTTCGTAGATGTAAAATTTCCCTGGTATGGCCTCTATGAATTTAAACAAAGGGTATGCATGTGCCCATGCACCAAGGGCAAATTCTATCATTTTTACCATTTAAAAAAAAAAAATTACTCCTAAAATTGGGTCGTGTCTTCCAGTACTTTTAGGATGGGGACCCAAAACTCCATAAATCAACCAAATCGGTCAATTTAAATGATCTAGATCAATCATGGGTAATGGTGCCATCAAATGAGGTTCAATTTTGGTAGAAACTGAAATAAAGTGATAACCCTGCACCACAATACATATTTATGCTGAGCTCTGTACAACCAAGAATTATTTCATGTAAGACCCAGACTCCATTGTATAAAAGATTAATAAGTACACCCCAACAGATTTGTCAGAAATCCTTTACTTTACTTTCAGAATCAATATTTTGCTATGTGACACTATACTACAAATTACTTCCACAAATGCAGGTCATTGACAAAGTTGCAAAAATGAATACACCCCATCAAAGTCTTAGGAGAAAGTTACTTTTTATTTTTAGACCTCAAAATCCTAATTGACAAGAATTCAACAGCTGAATCTAAGTCATTAACCCCTGGCGTGAAGAGGCCCTCCTGCACTGGGAGGTGGGTGGGGCTTAGTGTCATGTGGCCGCTATGACGTCACATGATCGGGAAAGGTCCCAATCGCAAGAGGAGACCGGGACCTTTCGGCAGGGCGCATGCTCTCAGCACATA